AAGCGGTCTTGCCGAGTGCGAGTGTTTTTTCGACACCGGCTCTACACGATCCATTATCAGCGAGGCGACGCAGAACACCTTGAATGCCGACATCAATGGTGAAGATGCCCTGTCGATCCCTACGTTTGGTTCACAGAAGAGGGAGACCAAGGTCTTGAAACGGGTCCAAATCCAAGTGAAGACCATCGATGGCGGTAACGTCCCCATTACAGCAAACATCACCCCGAACATCAGTTCTACAATGAGGCGCCTGCCAATCGGTGTGAGGAAACACCCCAGCCTGCAGCGAATGGTCTTAGCAGAATCCATTGCTGATCGACCAGAAGTCGTGACAATAGACATGCTCATTGGTAGTGACTACTACTATGATATCATTGGAAACGACCATGTCAGATTCTCGGATGGCCTAGTTCTTCTGGACACCAAGCTGGGATTCGTTCTGACAGGTCGGGCTACCACGTCTGCAGATCTACCCCAAGTCCACGCCATGATGCTGACTGCAGCGGACGTATACAAGCATGACGACTTCGACTTGAAGAAGTTCTGGTCCCTTGAAGAAATCGGTATTACCAGCATCACCAGCAGTCTGCAGCCTGATGACGCAGTGTTGAAGTCGTTCAATGAGACGTTGAAGTTTGTCAACGGGCGGTATAGCTTTGAATGGCCGTGGAAAGATAGTGCGACTGACACATCTCTACCAGAGAATTATGAGCTGGTAACTGGCCGGCTCCGCTCGCTTGTGTTGCGTCTGTCCAAGACCCCAGAAATCCTCGACAAATACAATGCCACCATACAACGACAACTCAACAGTGGCATCACCGAGACAGTCAATATGACCGAGAACGATGACGCCTTGAAACACAATATTCCACACCACTGCATAGTGAAGCTTGACAACACGACAACGAAGATTCGAGTTGTTTATGATGCGTCAGCCAAAACGAAACCAAAAAAACACAGCCTGAATGATTGCCTCGTAAGCGGGCCAAGCTTGCTACCAGATCTGTGTGAAATTCTGGTCAGATTTCATCTGAAACCGATCGGCAAACCTGTGATGTAGAGAAGGCATTTTGCAAGTCGGGCTGACGATGCCTGATCGAGCCATCACCCGATTTCTTTGGCTCAGAAATGTCCATCAACCAATCTCCGAAGACAACATAGTAGTGTACCGATTCTGCCGCTTGCCATTAATTTGGTGTAGTGTCGAGTCCGTTCCTTCTCGCAGCCACGCTTAGTCATTGCCTCGACATTCTTCAGCCTTTCAATCTTTCCTGATTTATTTCCATATTTGGCGTGACTCCTTTTTATAATAGATTAGGAACAATGCCACTTTTCTCCCTCCTTTCCCGTTTTCATCCCTTCTTTGTGTTCATATGTGCCAGATAACTGCTATGCATAAAACTTCTGGTGTACTTGCCAAGTTGGGTGTGTCTTAATACCACTTGTCTGAGAACACATACATGTATTACTTGAAGTGAGAGGCAGCTGAAGCCTCTACAAATGCAGTTGAAGTCCAGGACGATGCCCTGATGCTGCCAATCTGCTTTCTGAACCTTGTTCCTACCCACTTATAAAGGAGGGATGAGCCCAAAAGTGAGATTATTGTCAAATCCACGCAGAGTTTGGACATTTCAGAGGGTTTCAGGTGTTGGGCGGTTCACAAGCCAATTGAATCACCTTTTAAAGATTCTGTTTGAAATTCTCTGCCCTCCCTCGAGGAGGAGACCCAAGTTTTCAGAAGTGAACAAGTGCGAGAAGTGTATACATGTGTGTGCATGCAGTGGCGTAGGGAGATGTTTTAGTTTGGGGGGGGGGGGGCTTCCAGCCACTGACCTGCTCATATACTGGTGTGGTCGTACCGGTAGTCCTTCTACAGAAAGTTGTAATTGTTCAAGTATTTCACTCTTCATCACTGGACATGTGAAAACCTAGTACTAGTGCTCGAATCTGGACAAGAACAATGAAAGTCCTGTGCATGTATGTTGAATACAAGAGATTGCATGCAGCGACCACTGGATAAGTAGCTCTGACTGACAGCCTGGTCAATGTCCAAGGAGAAATTTATCTGAAGGCGAAATGTTTCCGTAATGGTGAACTAGAGGCAACCATAGAGCAATACTTACTGGTGAGGACAGTGGGATAAGTCTGCGTTTAAGAACTCCCGATTTTCAGCTATTACAAACAAGAACCCCGGACTCATCACATGCCAGTGATAAAAACCCAGCGACTAGGAGTAGCATGTTCCGTTCATAACGAATTTTCCACGATAGTGTAGATGACTAATGTGACCATGGTGAAAATTAATCGTCTAGAGGTCATCGAATTATAGGTGCAAGCCTCGGGCTCAGTTTCTCCATGAACATGTTGAAATGTATGAGCACTGATCAGTCGTACCTTGCTCTCCGACAAGTAACAGTAAGTCTTGAAGTAAGTCTCAAAAACTTCTTCTGGAGAGTGGTTTTATCCAGAAAGCTGCGATATAGCAATGAAGCAAAGTACTGCCACCTTTCCGATTTCGAAGAAAACCGCCCACGGAAAACAACGCTTTTAAATTAGCAGCTACGGTTCAAAGACGACCAAGCGATGATGATCTAGCGATCATGCTTCACACCGGTGGCACACGCTTCTACTTGAAGTATTCTAGATGTCATCCAGTGTAGACTTTCTGAGCCTAGCGCCTGTCAAGTACACTGTACAGTGCTGGGCAAAGAGAAATCCAACATCATGAATAGAATAGCATTGCTGGGCACTACACTGCACTACACTACACTGCACTACACATACTGGTCTGTGCACTACACTGCCCTAACACTACACATACTGGTCTGTGCACTACACTGCCCTAACACTACACATATTACTGGTCTGTGCACTACACTGCCCTAACACTACACATACTGGTCTGTGCACTACACTGCCCTAACACTACACAATACACTCATTGCCGAAGTTGTGTTGCCATGGTGCAAAAATGGCGTTGGATGGCTCGCGCTGTCATCGCAGCCCACGGCACGTCTTCCTGCTGTGCTTTCTTGACAAATTATTTTGTTTCGCTTTGTCCTTGTTGCTGGAGGGTTTGATTCTTTGAGATACTGTAGAGCGATTTGGAGTTGGTCAGCCGAGAGTAATCGTGAGAAATGGAGAAAGAACGTGAGAGAACCTGGACTGCAGATCAAGTCGCTCTGTTCCAGCGGAGGCGAGCAGATGGTTACGATCTCAGTGCCCAGGCACGTCGCTCCTGATTATTTCAAGGCAGTCCGTGCGCCAAGTTCAAAAAAGTCGTCTAAAAGTTGCACTTTTATTTGCAACCGCGGGAAATTTGAAGACGAATTTAGTGACATACCGAATTATTCTCAATTTTCGACTATTGGTTACCTCGAGAATACAGGCTTATCCTCCTATATCGATTGCTTTTGCGCCGTTATGGTGTTATAAGGGTGAGCGATGAGCACATTTTTCGAAAGTGCACCTCGATATTCGACATCTCAAGTCGTTCCCGTGCCAATTTGTTTCTCTTCTCAATTTCCCATTTCGTAAATACGTCGCAGGAGATTGTGGGCCGTCTTATTTTGCAAGGCTCTATCTCTGATAAAACTACGCGAATGGGCGGACAGATGGTGTTGCTATAGGCCAGGAAGAAACCACGAGTGTCCGCACTGTGACCAAGTCCAAATGGGCCGCCAAAGCCGGGGCTCGAAACTGCATCCTGACAGGCAATGCGGACCATGTGTAGCCTGCCAAGATGTTCCCCTTGATGGCAGATATGCCCACCCCGATACCACGCAATGCTGGGAATATGCACATCACCCTACAATACCACGAAATGCATGTATCTGCAAGAAATGCATGAAAAGGCTCATAAATCATTCAGCAGAGCCAATGCCTAGCGCCTGTCACTGACAACGTGCATGCCTGCACAGCATGTTGCAGCACCGGCACCAACACCCGCAACAATACCAGACTGCTCAGTAGATGGTTGTGATTTGCCACGGCATGTCACAGTTTCATTACAAGCAGTAGAGCTGGCCGAGAAGCTTAACGTGAAAGTAAACGCAAATGATCAGCCAGCGGGTCTCTGCAACCGGCATAACATGCAGCTACATGACAGCAACAGGCCCACATGCACCATGTGTGGCGCACAAATAAGGGGTGTTAAGCGTAAATGTCCGAACGTCGGAGCAGTTCAGCGTCAGCTGCACACTGAGCGTGGTCTTACGGTCACCGCGGATAGTGCTTTTTGCCTAGCCTGTTATAAAGGCCAACTGGATATGGTGGACAGTCAGACTACTGACTTCAAGCTGGAGAGCCTGGTGCAGAGTATAACAGACGAAATGCACCAATGCACCTCACCCGAGGAGTCTGCATTGCTGGCAACAGCAAGATTTGTCTGTCTTGCATTCCTCGAGAACCGTTCTCTTCTTCTGGCAACGGCTGCTGATTTCTTCACCATCCAGCGACTGCAACAACCGGTGGCTACTGTCCAGCCTTATTTCGAAGCTTGGCGCTCATCTCAGTCATGGGTCATATGGTACCAGTAAGAAACGAGGTACGCTCCTGTATCGTACAGGGTGTGACACAGTTCTGTGCTTATACAATTCCCTCGCCGTTGCACGATCCCAGACCCTGAAACACAGAGCACAAAATGAAACCCAGCACACACAGCACACAAGCCAACCCAGTGGCCCATCATCCTTCGTATCAGAGCTGTCGGCTGCAATGCACTCATAAATCAAAAGTCAAGCACAAGAATTCAAGCACAAAGAGCATAACGACCTAACTTCACTGTCGGAAATGAAGCTGGACGCAGTGGTGGATAGTGTGGACAGTGAGTTGTGGGGAAACATTTGGCTGATGATGTACGGCCAATCGGAGTCAGAAGGAAGTCAAGCATCCAACCACCGTGCAAAGATGATCCGGTGCTTGTTTGTTCTATCATGCATGATGCATGCAAGCACACCAGCATGCACTTACCCTTTCCAGCTTGTTCTTTCGGACATTAGTGGATGCACATAGCAATTCCAGCGAGCTCATGCGAGTACTAGCTCGAGTCGGCGCAACAGCAGGTGGCGACTCCTACAAGCGATATCAAAAGACCATCATGGATAAGAAATCAGAGCTCGGAATGAACAGTGAGATACCTCACGCAAAGTTCTCCATTGCAACAGTGGATAATATCGACAAAAACGAGCCAGGCAGGCAAATGTACTACGGAGACCAATCAAGAGGCTTTCATGGTACATGTACATCTATTCAGAGCATCACACCAAAGCCCATCAGTGGCAATATCGTCGCGTGCAACAACATAGACCGAGTGCCACATCAAGGATTCCACTGTGCATCACAGCCTGCCGACACAAGTGAACCACAGGGTATGCGAGGCAGGCTGAGGTCCCGTGCAAGAACAATGATTGAAGGCCAGAAGCCACAAGTCGACCACCAGAGCACGCAGAGACACTTACCTACACCCCAGTCACAGCTGGATGATGCCATTCAGCCTGATTGGCCCACTGGACCTAGTGCTGTTGATGACGAGCGCGCAAGACCATCTACAGAAAGCACAGAGAATCCAGAAAATACGGCAAAAACCTGTGACACAACTATCACATATGATCAAGATAAGGCTGCAAGTACAGAATGTTCAGCATGCAACACCCAGCCCGCGCCAGATGACGCGCGCGTGTCTGTGTGTGTGTGTGTGTGTGTGTGTGTGTGTGTGCTTCTATGGCTTCTGCTGTAGCATCTTTATCATCGCCTCCGGCGATGGGCGTCCAATGGTCCAATGGTGTGTGTGCGTGTGTGTGTGTGTGTGATACGTGTTTGTATGTGTGTGTGTGTGTGTGTGCACGCATGCGCGCGTGTGTGAGTGTGTATATGTGTGTGATGCTGAATTCGAAGACACATGCTCTCACAATGCATTCGCACATGCTGCGGACCCTGCGTCTCCAGCACTTGCTTTTCTTTCAGGACCTGCACTTCTGTGCAGTTGTGCTAAACTATATAAAAAGTTTCTTTGACTATGTACTCCATCTATAATTATGTAATGAACGTCCTACCATGGTACATACAAAAGAAACTGTTCCACAGACTACCTTCAGCCAGAACTTTAGCAAACTAGATCAGCAGCCAGGAATACTGCTGGATTTTGATTAAAATCTGGGCCCCAATCACACGACTTACATAGAAATTCCGTATAGATGTCGAAGACAAAACAGCAAGGGGACTAGTTTGCAATGTAGAGGTGCCCAAGGAAAATAAGCAGCCAAAACGTCCTTGTTCAAGCACAATTACTTTAGTGCAAAATTCCACACAATTCGACATACCTCCACGAAATTGTGGGCCGCTCCATTTTGCATAGCCTGATTGGGATGTGCTTTGGGAATCCAAACCCAAATATATCTACCTTTGGCTTAGAGCATAAGCCGAGAGTGTCCGCTATATGCTATCCACTCCAGCACGACAAGCAAGTTGATGGTACGATTACGACGAAAAAATATGTAGTGCAAACACAGGTCTTCATGGTCTACAGTTGGGCGCAACGAACCTCAGCTAAAGTGACATAGGTGACAAAGGGACATACCTCAGCAGCAAACCAAGTTATGAACAAGGATTCCTCCAGCACACGCCAGTTCAGATCCAAATAAGGTTGCAAATTCCCAACAAAACAATTGTGTCGTCGTCATCTTTTTGCACCTCGATTTTTCCCGCGGTTGCAAATAAAAAACAGGCTACTCAAGGGCTTGGCGCACGGACTGAAGGGGCTCGATGTGCAAGTGGCACTCGAAACCAGTGCTGCGCAGAGTGCCCATGTTCCTGCCAGTGTCGCTGCTTCAGCCGGGCTGGCGCTGGCGTCTCCAGTGCAAGCAGTATACCTAGTAGCTGAAACCACTCCTGAACCTGCTGTAAAACCCGCCGCTCAGGGCCAGTGCAAACAGCAGCTGATGCTGCTACCGAAAGGGCCCCATATTCACTTCTGTCCAGCTCTGTCCTGCGCGCTCCCACCTCTTGTGGGGATATCATGCGCTTACGCATGCAAGGGCTGCGCCAACTTTGCAAAGACAGTATTCCCTACCAAGGGCGTGTATCCAGACGTGATCTTTACCTTCTCATCTTGTGAACATCTCCACTTGAGTACTGCTGGCGAAGGGGTTCCAGACGAGGAGGCAGACAAGCCTGCATTACCAAAGCCAGTAATGGCAGCGTACAAGAAGCTACCAAGCTTTTCACACATAACATCTGGCTGGTCTCTATCTCGCCTAACTAAAATCCCTTTCTTCATTACTGAGGCTGTCAAGCACTATCTGTTAAATTCCCCGGAAAAAGATTATGACAAGGAGAGCTTGCAGTGCTACAAGCAACTTCGTGCGTACCAATTATTTGATGAGCACCACCTTCACCATTTGGAGGGAAATCTGTTTGCAGGTGGAACAAACTTTTGTTTCGTCCGTGCGAAATGCTGGCCATCACAAGATACATCAAAGCAAGCCTACACGTGTATCGTCTGCATCAGCAGGGACGATCCAGTGTGCTAAGGTGGATACTGCCAGTGCATTTCCGGATAAGGAGAGTGCTGTTCACATGTCGCGGCTTTGCTGTTTGCGCAGGATGATTTTTGCAGCCATGGCATGCAGAGTTTGTCTGGACCTTCCGTAACAGACATGTTGTATGCATGCACGCTTGTGCTTCTGACTGTTTTTCTAGATCGTGGCTTCTCTTCTGATCTTTCCTCGTCATGTCTGTTGACGTTTGTGAATTATATCATCTTGTCCAACATAAACACAGTACACTGTGAACGAAAGCAACATTTCATTCCACCTCACCTCTCAACCCCTCACAAACAACCGAAAACTCGTCATCGATTGCACTGATTTTTTAACGACTTTCTGGATCAATAATCATCATTTTTATGTCTTCAAACCAGAAATTGGCAGAGATCAAAATGGTCTGTCACCATAGTAAAACATTGACTTACAAGACATTTCTGAATAATGAACTTCGGACTGATGTTAGATTATTACTGGAACAAATCATTTCTGAATGCACAGATTGAGCTAAGTGGAATACTTGGTTGGTTGATAGAACTTGTATTTCCGGTGGAATATATGTAACAATCTTTTTCACATTCACGCAGTATTTATTGGAACAAATTCATATTCTGTGATGATGATGGTCAGCCAGTGTCGGTGAAACGTCTAATGGCCATCGCTGAGGACCAGTGGCATACAAATGTCTAAGGGTAGATAGGCCGCGCCAAGTTTGCATCCTCTTGGCTTTGGGTTTGAGGTATTTGAACAGGGCAGAGAACACTGCGTAGTTAGGCAGCCCGGTGAAGTGCCTGAACTTGTCAGGATTGTTTCTGATGCTGGCTAAATCGATCGAAAGACACTTCAGGCTCTCGTACTCATTTTTAATTTCACTGAAGTCTTTTTTCTAGGCCAGCCATGTGATCATCAACTTCACTCGGGTCACTTACACTGATATATCTGTGATCACATGGCAAACCCTGCACAGGACCAGGGGTCGGTGCTGGGGCAATAGCCGAACAGACACCAGACACCACAGAAACGACCCCGGCATCATCAATATCTTGTGGCTCCTCAGACTCTTGACGTTTTCTCTTCAGAACTCGTCTCGCTGGTTTAGGAGTTGCCGTCCACTGGAACTGGGTTGGCACAGCGGTGGGGTTGAGCCATTTTCTTTCTGGCTCCTCACCAGACAGGAGCTTGCCGACGTAATCATCTTGTTTGAAATGAGAGCTGCATACTCTGGTGTTTGATGTGATCTTGAAATTTGATCCCACGTCCCTCCTAATTTCAAATTGCCATAACTTGCACCTTTCTGCATCACTGGGAAAACGATGAAATGCAAGTGACATAATCTAAAGACCGATTACTGCAGAGCGGAACAGCACAGTAGTAGCCCTTGCCTGAAGTTCTTTTCGGCTTCTTGGCAGGTTGGCTGTCAGTGCCAGATTCCACTGCGGCTGACCCCACGGACACTGAAGGCGAAGAAACAACACCAACACTAGCTGCAGCGACAGTTTGTTCGACTGGAACCGGTTCAGGAATGGTTTTAGCTACTGCTTGCGCTGGAGACGCCAGCGCCAGCCCGGCTAAAGCAGCGACACTGGCAGGAACATCGGTACTCTGCACAGTGCTGGTTTCGAGTGCCACTTGCACATCAAGCCACTCGAAAATTAATAATCAGGAGCGACGTGCCTGCGCACTGAGATCGTAACCCTCTGCTCGCCTCTGCTGGAACAGAGCGACTTTATCCGCAGTTCAGGTTCTCTCACGTTCTTTCTTCATTTCTCACGACTACTCTCGGCTGACCAACTCCAAATCGCTCTACAGTATCTCAAAGAATCAAACCCTCCAGCAACAAGGACAAAGCGAAACAAATAATTTTGTCAAGAAAGCACAGGAGGAAGACGTGTCGTGGGCTGCGATGACAGCGCGAGCGCTCAGGCGTAGCCATCCAACGCCATTTTTGCACCATGGCAACGCATCTTCGGCAATGAGTGTATACTGGTCTGTGCACTACACTGCCCTAACACTACACATACTGGTCTGTGCACTACACTGCCCTAACACTACACATACTGGTCTGTGCACTACACTGCCCTAACACTACACATACTGGTCTGTGCACTACACTGCCCTAACACTACACATACTGGTCTGTACACTACACTGCCCTAGCACTACACATACTGGTCTGTGCACTACACTGCCCTAACACTACACATACTGGTCTGTGCACTACACTGCCCTAACACTACACATACTGGTCTGTGCACTACACTGCCCTAACACTACACATATTACTGGTCTGTGCACTACACTGCCCTAACACTACACATACTGGTCTGTGCACTACACTGCCCTAACACTACACATACTGGTCTGTGCACTACACTGCCCTAACACTACACATACTGGTCTGTACACTACACTGCCCTAACACTACACATACTGGTCTGTGCACTACACTGCCCTAACACTACACATACTGGTCTGTACACTACACTGCCCTAACACTACACATACTGGTCTGTGCACTACACTGCCCTAACACTACACATACTGGTCTGTGCACTACACTGCCCTAACACTACACATACTGGTCTGTACACTACACTGCCCTAACACTACACATACTGGTCTGTGCACTACACTGCCCTTATGCCTGGTTCACACTAGGCCGATTTTCCGGCCGACATGGACTCGTACGAAAAATCCTCAAGATCGGGGCGAAAATTGCGTAGTGTGAACTGTGTTGTCGTACAGGGTTCCGACAAATCTGCGGCGATTTTCTTGTCGCACTAGTTTTCGGCCAAGTATCGACTGGTCGATATTTAGCCGAAAAGCCGGCCGATTTTTACTGCTTGCACGTGATGGAGCGGGATTCGGACCAATCACAGTAGGCTTTTCACCATGACAGCAAAGAGCGTCGATGTCGAGCTCATGACCTCTTGTACTTTTGTACTCTTGAGTCTTGATGAAATGTAATGTCCTACCAAAATTTCATAACCCCCATGAACTCTTGCTTTTATGGATAATCGATGCGACTCTATTGCGAGTGAGTCGTTCCCCGTGTGTGAACAGGCCGTCCGACTCAGTCGACACAGTCGGCAGACTCCATGTCGGAGTCGGTGTCGGAGCACCGGCCGGAAAATCGGCCTAGTGTGAACCAGGCTTAACACTACACATACTGGTATGTGCACTCGAACGCGGCGATACTCTATTTATGAGGTTGGATTTCTCTGCGGGTCAGCACTGTACATGACCACAGAACCCACTGCAGGGTCAGCTCTGACTACAATCGAGCTGATTGCATGACTCGTAGATCTACTGATGGATCTGCATGCTTCTCGCTTGCACGTGCGAACATGTATGCATGCACGATGCTGCAATTTCAGTTCGAGCCCGGTGGACTTCTAGAGACGATGTGTCCTCATGGCTGTTTTTCAACGCTTGGCCTATCGCTGATATCCCTGCGTGGAATGTTCTTCCAGTGGAGTCCAGGTGGGACTTCGGGTGCTCACACTCCATCACCTGGTTGATTATTTCGGAACTGCAATAATACAGGTTCAAATACTTATTGTTTCCTTTTTGTTCGTATCTCTTGTCATCTCTCTTTTCTATACGTCGCACACCAGATGTACTACTATCGCTGTCTTTCTCCTGCTATCTCTCTCTTCTTGCTGTTTTTTGTTTTTGTTGCCACTGCCGCTCATCATACCCATGCTTGGGTGGAGGGCGGTGTGACCCGTTAGGGTAGCTGTCAATACAGTACAGTACAGTGTGTGTATGTGTGTGTGTGTGTGTGTGTGTGTGTGTGTGTGTGTGTGTGTGTATGTGTGTGTGTATCATCGTGTGTGTGTGTGTGTGTGTGTGTGTGTGTGTGTGTGTGTGCTTGGCGTGCGGGTGGGTGTCAATCGTCGCCGCTCTCTGCTCGTGTCATGTCACTCAGCTTGAGATTCGAACTGGAAAATGGGAATACAGACTGGATTACCATTGTCACCGCGTATGCCCCGACTTTTCAGAGCAAACGCTCTGCAAAGGACGAGTTCTATGCGTCGCTCCAGAATGTCATGAACAACATCGCCCCAAGTGAAAATTTTATTTTGCTGGGCGATTTCAACGCCAGGGTCGGAAGTGGACACAGTCAGGACAGCTGGTGCAGGGTGCGTGGCCCACATGGCCTTGGCATTTTGAACTCTTCTGGTGAGCACCTCCTCAGTTTCTTGGCCA